CCTTTTGTCTGTCTCATTTCATTTAACATAATAACTTCAAGGTCCGTCTATGTTGCAGTCTGTGTTAGAAGCTTTTTAATAAGGCCAAATAATAAATATGTATATATGTACAGAGGGGGCAGGGAAGGAGAGAGAGAATGAGGAAGAGAGACAGAGACAGAGAGAACATTATTGTAAACCCAGCTGGCCTGGAACTTTCTGGGATTAAAGGCATGTCTCTCTTGTGTGTGTGTGTGTGTGTGTGTGTGTGTGTGTGTGTGTGTTGAAATAGAAAAATGGGTATTAGAGACTGAACCCAGGGCCTCGCACATGCTATGTAGTGCACCATTATCATTATGCTACATCCACAGCCCCAGAATATTCTTCTAGAGATTTTTTATTATTTTCATTTATGCATATGTTTTTGCCTGCATGTGTGAAAAGTGCACCATGTTTGTGCAATGCCCACAGAGCCAAGAGAGGATGTTTGATCCTCTGTAACTGGAACTACAGATGTCTATGAGTCATCACATTGGTGCTGGGAACCATACCTGGGTCCTCTACAAGAGGCTGCTTAGGCCATCTTTCCAGCTCCCCTACAAATTTTTGTTTTAATAGAAAAGATCAGAGCACATTACTTCACAGAATGCTTGCTATCCCCAAGGAGTGTGGATTTTCTTACTGAACATCACAATCATAAAAGTTCAAAACTCACTGATTTGATGGCAAGTGATTCCAAAATACTCATTGATAGCCTGGCTCTTCCCCTGTGCCATTTCAGAGTTCCTTTCCACAAAGTTGCTGCCTTCCATGTCCAAGCAAATACAGACTCAAACTCATGATTCTCCATTTCTCGACGTGCTCCTTTTCACTCACCATCCAACTCTGTTCTCCATACTCTGTCTCCCCTGACTGGACAATGCAGCTCTAGCCCTGCTCTATGTGGACTGTTCAGTCTCCCTGCTCATCATCTCTCCTTTTTGCTGGCTTTCTGAACCTCCCTCCCACCTCCACCTGTGCCCAGGAAGCACTCTTTCTTTAAGACCATTTCAAATGTCCTCTTTAAGCCAAATAAACCCTTTCCTGAAGCAGCTCCCTCCTGGCTCTTAGGGTACCTTGTCAATGCCTCCATGCAAGCTCTTCTGTCTTCCTCACAGCCATGAGTTAGTTCTCCTTCTCTACACCTGGGATCTTGCACACACTATCCTCATCACACCCAGTGGTACTCAGTGTACAGCAAGTATTCTGTATATAGCAAGTACTCAGTGTATAGCAAGTATTCAGTGTACAGCAAGTACTCAGGGTATAGTATGTTCTCGTGTGTCACAATTAGTGTACAGCAAGTATGCAGTGTTAGTATTCATGCATCTGTACTGGCCTGTCCTTGAGGTCCTGACAGGATATGTCCTCAGCTGCTGCCACTAAGAGCACCACCTGTGCACTGTACACATTCACTGTTCCCTCTTAAAAGCACCCTGCCCAACTCTTCTCTCTCTCTCTCTCTCTCTCTCTCTCTCTCTCCCTCACTCCCTCCCTGCTTCTCTTTCCCCTCTCTCACTGCTCCTGTCTCCAGAGGCTGATCTCCCTCCTTCCCTTTCCCCTTCTATGATCCTTTTCCCTTAATAAAAACCCCTGTGATTGAACTCTGTTGCATGGTGTCTTTTCTCTCTCAAGCCACTTTTCAAAAATTACAACACTCAGTGTATAGTATGTTCTCAGTGTATAGTAAGTACTTAGTGTAGGAAACAGTGTATTGTAAGTTTGGGAAGGCATGGGAAGCAAACACATCACAGCTGTGCTCTTCCTTGTCATTTCCTCCCAAGTCATGGAGTGTGCCTGCTGCTCCACAGAGATAGCTCTTACTAGGCCATCACACTGCTCCCTTTGTCCCCCAACAAGGTACATCCCTAGAATTTTAGTGGCTCATGATGGACCTTGTCAAAAGTTTCTATAGCACATCCCAGGGAAAGACTGAGGGTACAAAATAAATAAACAAATAGATAAATAAAACACATCACCCACTTCCTTCTATAGCAACTTCACATCCCTAGACAAGCTTGCCACCCTTGTGCCTCCAACATGGTCTTCAGAACCCCCGAGCTGTGCCCACACTTCTGAGTGGCTGTGATTATTCCCCCAGTGTCTCTCCTTCTCCAAGCCTTTAATTACAACACCAAGATAACCTTCCTTTCCAAGCACTTTTATTAAGTTATTTCCCTACCCAAGGAACACATGTGGCTCCCCATGACCTATGAACCAAGCTCAATCTGTCCTCAACCTTCAGAGCACTGCTGTCTGACACATCCCAATATGCTCTCCTTACATCATGGAATCCATCTTTTCATTGTGTCTCTTCCAATGACTACACCTAAGTATACAC